GATTCACCTTCTTGCACAATGCTCTGAAATCTCTGCCTTCTGGATAGTCCATGATCTGTTGCAGGATTCTTGGGTGGTTGGGGTTCCCCATTCAAGCCTGTTGCATGACCAACACTACCCACTCACTGCACGTAGCGTTAATTGCTTGATGTGTAGAGGGGACATTTCCTTTGAACGTCCAGTGCAGCACATGTAATTGTGGTGCCCAGAGAACCCGTGCTTCTGTGCCAGCAACTTCCGAAGCAGCTCATACGCTGCTAGTATCTCTTTTGCATTTGAGGTATAGTGGGCTTCAGATCCTTGACACCCCTGGCTCCAAAACCCTAGAGGTCAACCTCCAGTTTATCCTGGAGTATTCCTCCAGAGATGCCAGGTGAGGCCGTGCTCCCTGGCTGCAGTGTAGACCACATTTTGCACAGCTGGTGCTGCACGGATGAGCCCAAGGGCTACTACGTGAGCTATCTCCTGGTTGATATGCTGAAGAGCCTGCTGTTGCTCAGGGCGCCGCTCAAAATAGTTCTTCTTTCGGGTCACTCGATTAAGAGAGCTCAGAAGCTGACTGTAACCCCGAATATGTGTTGTGCAGAAACCCATAACATCTAGAACAGCTTGTGTTTCTATTTTGTTAACTGGTGGGACATAGTTGTTATCTTACTGATCACATCTGTAAGAACATGACAATTCCATCCTGCCATTTTATTCCCAAGAACTGGATCTCTTTGACCTTGCTGGTTTTTTTTTTCCTTTTTCTTTTTCAAATGGAGAAACCAGCTTTCAGAAGGATCTGTATTATCCTTTTCCCTTTCTCAAACACTTCCTCTGCTGTGTTGCCCCACACAATGGTGGTGTTGATGCACTGCAGATGTTCAGGGGCTTTGCCCTATTCCAGTGCAGTCTGGATCAGTCCATGACAAGTGGTAGGGCTGTGCTTCCACCCCTTGCATGGTCAACTCCAGCTGCATTGGACAGCCCTCCACGTGAAAGCAAACTATGGCTGTGTGGTTGAATCTTGCTGATCACCCCTTGGCTCCCCAGTTGATGAGTCAGATCCTGGATGGGAACCAGGGATTATTGGTCGGTGTGATATTGCCAATGGTGGACTGTCATGGTAGCAATTGGCACCTGCTGTTCTTTGACACGCAGTAACCCCCCCACACAACACAGGGATCCACAGAGAGACCAGGCAAGGTAGGCAGCTGTTTAATCTCTGTATCCATGATGGCTACACCAAAAGCCCATCGGTACCCTTTTGGGTTCTTGAAGTACCCTCTCCTGGGGTAATTATGCCAAGCATACACGGGGCCTCTGGGCCGGTCACAACGGGGTGCTTTTGTCACTTGTACCCTGCTAAGCTCACCTCAGCCTCCAATACAGACAGCTGTTGGGATCCCCCTGTCACTCCAGAAATCCAGATCGGTTCCTCCCTGCCGTACCCTGGTGGCATTAGGGTACACTGTGCACTGGTGTCCACCAAAGCTTTATGCTTCTGTGGTTCTGATGTGCCAGGCCAGCAAATCTACACAGCTCAGTAAACCCAGTCATCCCTTCCCTTCTCCTGGCCAAAGGTAACGATCCTCTACTCCCAGCCAGAGACCCCTGCAGGGTCAGGCCAGAAGTCCCTTCACCAGAATCAAAGGAGATGCTTTCATTTCTCTTCTATACCTGAGCAATCAGGATCACTGGTTGCCTTCTACCATCTCAACAGCGGTACTGAACTGTGGCCGCCGTCTTGGATGGCCCCTTATTAACAGCTGTCTTCCCCCTCAGTTTGTGTACACAGGCTCCTAGCTTAGAGGTGGGCTCACCATCCCACCTCATGTCCTCCCCTTGGTCATGTTTCCTGCATGAACCAGAGTGCCACGCAGTGTGTCCCGGTCGCCACCCCCCTCTGACCGGAGGAACTTGTGTCTGTAGGGCACCCCTGGCAGCCCAGACGCTGGCCTGTGGGGGCAAGGAGGGAGACAGGTGTTCTTGAAAATGTCAGAGCCAGCGGGACGCTCTCTCTGCAGTTAGCATGTTGAAGTCTGGCTAGCCCATTATCACCACATGGTTGGAATATGATGTCAGTACATTGTGGACCACTCTTCTCCACATGGCCCATGTACGCTGGACATCATCTGGATCTTTGGAGACCTGGTTGCCATTCAGGTCACTGCAGAAGACTTCAGCATTGCTAATTCTCTCAGATATTGGATGTCTTCTTCAGTGGTAGAGGCAGCAATCTCCCTGCCTGGCTGGTGGTTGTAATCTTTCTGCATATCTCTAAGTTTACCCGTATGCCTATCTCTGTGTGCCTATCTCTGTGTGTCTATCACCCATGTGCATATCTCTAAGGTTAGGGACTGGGTAGTTCTCATCTCTTGGGTGATTCCTCTCACTTCTTCCTCTTGCTTTCTTGCTGAAGGACCAGCTTCCTGACCAGAGCCTCCTCATCCTGTACTAACTGATGGTACGGACCCATCAACCTCCACATCCAGTGCTTCTTTTTGACTGCTGGGGTAATTGCTGTAGTTGGGGTTTGGGTCCCTATCTTATCCATGTTGTTCCCAGATGTGGTTTGGGTCCCTGTCTCAACCACGCTCCTCTGATGGTGCTGAATGGAGGCTCGAGGGCTGGAAAGCCCCAGTACAGTGCTAAGAGCTGCCGGGTTTCACTGGGGTTGGCAAGGCACCCTTCTGTTAGTAGTGTGCCAATTCAATGGGGTTACACACCTGTAGAGGTATAAGATCCCAGGCTATCAGAGGTGATAACCACCCCAGGCACCTGCCCAGATCCTCCCACACACCCTGCCACCCAGGGATCTCGATGGACTGGAGGCACGTTTCCTTGTCACCTCACCAGAACAAAAGCCGGTTCCATGAAAATGACTAAAAGATGAGGACGTTAATCAAGCAGCTTAGATAAGGATGTGCGAGGACCTCAGAAGCCAACAAAGGCAGCCACACCAATCCTGGAGGGGACGAGGGAGGTGCAGTCCCTCACCTCTCCGCCCGACAGCCCTCCCGGCACAGGTGCGGTGCCCGTGCCAGGGCCCATGGCATGGGTCTTTTAGACTTATTTTTATCAGAATGCTCCCAGGCACAGCTAAACACAGAGATAAGCGAAGCAGCAAAGACCAGGAGCTGAAAGCAGCCACTGACGAGCCCCGGGCTCTGTTACATGGCAAATCAAGCAAGCTCCGTGACCTGCACAGGAGCCTGGTAATTAACAGCTACCACAGCTATAGTAGGCCCAGATCAAAACTGTTGTTATCTTGAGCCCCACGTTGGGCAGCAATAAAAAGGAGTGGTGGGTTGATCTTGGCCAGCAGCCAGATGCCCATCCAGATGCTTTCTCACTCATCCTCCTCAGCAGGACAGGGGGAGAAAATAAGATGAAAGAAAATCCTCCCGTGTTGAGATAAAGACAGTTTAATAAGAAAAGCAAAAGCTGCATGCACAAGTAAAGCAAAAAGAGGAATTGATTCATGACTTGCCATCAGCAGGCAGATGCCCAGCCATTCCCTGCGAAGCAGGGCCTCCACACGCACAATGGTGGCTTGGGAAGACAAACGCCATAATCCTTCTTTCTTGGGGCTTTTATCAAAAAAGCTGTGCAGCCTCTCGTTTGTGTGCTGTTTGCTGTGCGAAGCTCTGTGGAATGGATCAGAGGGCTGGGATGTGTGATCTGCTGAGCCCTTGTCAGGGACCCCACGGTGAATGAGTGCCTTACTTGGTGTGTGTGCAGGATGGGGGGGCTGTGTGTGCTCCTTTGCGGCCCAGTGGGTCTCTGCTCAGGAAGAGATTTAGCATCAGAGAGCACCTGACTCTTGTGCTGGGCCACAGGAAAGCCTTGCACCGGGAGAAATGCTGCCTGCAGTGCTGGTGGCTGGCAGAGAGCTGCGTGGGTGAGGCAACCTGCACCGGGGTTGATTTGTTCTGTCATCCAGCTGTGCTGGAGGGACTCTCCCGGGGCTTGTTTCCAAGCTCAGAGTTCACATCATTCCTGGATGGACATTTCTGTTCATGTCAGCTAATGACGTGGGGGTATGCCATGGATCACATCCCAGGCCGCTGTGTAGATCAGGCACTGCAGACGCTGTGGATCTGCGTATGCCAGGATGTTTCATGACGACTGCTCAGGAACTGTATCTTGCAGGGGTTTTACGCTTTGGAAAAGAGGCACATCTGCATCTTTTTCTTGTCCCCAGCCCTGAGTCCAGACCCATGGTCTGGAGGGAAACAGGCGTCAGGTGGCATGGGATGAGGTAATATTTGTCCCTTTAAGCCAAAGAGCAGC